TCCCTCCCTCCCCCCTCTCCTCCTCTCCCCCTCCCTCTCTCTCTGCTGCGGCTGCTCCTTTATAGGCGAGCTCCACAGAACGCGACAGGACCGGGACCAAGACCGGGACCGGGACTAAAGAAGAGCGAGGAGAACCATGACGGAGAGCACGAAGACCCACGTCATCCTGCTGTCCTGCGGCAGCTTCAACCCCATCACCAAAGGACACATCCATATGTTCGGTAAGGAGGTGGGGGATGGGGTGGTGGCAGGTCTGGGTGTGTTTGGTGTGTTTGGGGATAAAGATCACCGGAACCCCGGTGCTGAATATCCGCGCTAAAGCTCCGAGCCGGACTCCGGGCGCTGTCCGGGAGGGTGGTGCTGAAACGGGCGACGGCTCCGGTAAAATCCCGACGACTCAAACAAACGCAGTACGGAGCAGCCCGGGCCCACGTTCAGGAAAAACACGGAGCTGCCCCTCAACCCTCCGAGCCAAACCGTGACAAAAACACGCACACTGGTGTAAGGAGGCCGTCAGCGTGCGGGGAGCAGACCGGGGGTGTTAGTGCCTTGCTCGGCCGCCTTTCCCTGCGCGTTAGCGGAGGTTACAGGTCGGAGTGTGGTCAGAACATGTTTTCATCATAGAATCCAAACGACTGCAGGATCAATGATGCGACTGTTAGTGTGACTGTTCTGCTGGACGTTCAGAGGCCTTTCATCGCGTCACAGCGGAAAACACGACGGTCAGTCTCCCCACGAAGAACCGCGTCACGAATACAGTCAAATTAATAAACAGGTTTACTGTAATATCAGGAGGCACAAACAGAAACGGTCTGTTCTCAGCTGGAGACATTCTCGTGATTCATTTCTGGAAGATGAATAATTCACAGAGATGGAAAAACGTAACAGAGTTTAACGTTCAGCTGATGTCATTCACTGGGCTGTGTCACGTGACCTTTCACCGAGCAACGATCTCTTTGAAGTGCAAAGATCGATAAGAGTCATCGCTGTTTGTCCTTTAAATCCTTCTGAACTGCAATTTATCCATTAAAACAAACATCAAGTCATTGTGAACTCAGCTCTTCTCCAAACGCAGTTCCCTGCTGGTTAACTTGTGTATGTCCACCTTACCGGGTCCCCTAAAACCAGGTTTGTGGCACCGAATTCAAACTAAATGTGAAAAAACCTGAAACGATGTCCTGCAAATGTGATGCGAACGTTTCTGTATCACTGTGAACCGAAGAGATCTTTAAATATGACACCCACCATTTACACACAACTACGTCCCACAAAATGACATTTAAAATATAAATCTATAAGAAGGCTGTTAGTTTGTGTTACTGCACACTGAGTTTGAGGCATATTCACGATCACACTGTTAAAATGTTCAAACTTTAAACAATAAAACATTAAAATGAGAAAAGATTTTCTTCTGCTTCCTGTTTCCTGTTCTTCAGCGCCTGGCTTTGCTTCTCTCTCCTTGTTTCGTGGACTTCCTGTTTTCTTGCTGAACTCTTCTCCACGTCCTGCTTGTTGTTCTTCCTCCCGCTGAATGTCTGAACTCTGAAACTCTTTAATCTGAAGTTTTCTGCCTTCATGTGGTCAGAGCTTCTTTTTCATCCGCTCACAGTTTGCTTGTTGAGGCTGATTCTTCATTAACAGCTGTCACCCCCTGATGGCACAGGCGACGAGTTCTGGATCAGAGGGTCACATAAACTCTAACGTGGTTCCCACGCCTTTATTTTAATCAGATACAAATACAAATGTAAGCTTTTGACAGTGTGGAGCAAATACAGCCGGATAGAAAGCGATGAGTCTTTACTGTTGAGCTTTCTAAAGGTTTTATCCTCATTGATTAAACAAAAGGAAGTTAATGATCTTTGATCCTGAAGACGCTGAGAAACGTCGTGCCATCGTCTCTGCTCTCGGCCTGCGACTCCACATCTTTCTTGATGTGTGGGTTCAAACATGGAAGCAGCTCTCTGTGAATAAATGATGTTCTTAGATAACAGAGTAGTCTGCGAGGATAAACGAGGCTCCTTCTACACTCGGTGAAGATGTAGGCTCTTCTGTCCTCCATCTCTCATTATATTATCCACCTTTTTCTTTTGTTAGCTTGGAGCTCCAGTGGAGACGCCTGTGTGTTCAGTTTGATACGGCCGTGAGTCGCTGCAGAGACCACAGCCAAAATATTTCAAGAACCTAAAGTGGGACAGAAAAACAGGAAAAAATGATTTGGACTTGGGGCTTGAATGTAACAAGCAAAGGAACTAAACCCAGCTGTGCCCCCGCTGACCGTCGCTAAAGATCAGAGTTTTTCTAGTTTTTGTGTTTTATTTTAGTTTGTTTGTTTATTCGATTCATTTTTGTTTTCTTGTTTTCATTTCAGTTTAGTCTCAGGTGTTTTCCAGAGTGACTTCTTTTGTTTCACTTTCATTTTTATTGCTTTGACTGTGACTCAAACTGGCAACAGACAAACTGAATCCAGTCCCTCTGTTTATGTAGCGAAGCGTGTAGCAGTGTGAAAGTGTCAGTGATGGATGCTGTTTAATGTATGCAGTGTGTTAAAAAGTGTGCAAAAACCTAAATAACCCAACAGACCAGTGGAAGCTGCCCAAAGAGGCTGAACGGCCTGAGAGAGCCGGCTTTATACTCTTCACCACATCCACCCTTCAGGTGCAGCCACTCACTGCTTCACCCAGGTAGAAGCAGGAAGCACAGAGGGCGCTAGGCTAGGCTAGGCTAGGCTAGGCTCAATTAGATTAAGCTAGGTTTAGTGTTTTATGATAACTTTGGAGCTAATTATGATGAAGGGATTCAGCGCTGGTATTACAGCACGGACACTAAACTCACGTCATGTAAAGATCTCATCAAACCACCAACTTCTATTCACTTCATTTTTTGTAGTTTTTATTTAACTTGAATGTTTCTCCATCACTGTTTTTACGCTTAGCTCAGCGTAACTTTGCCATAGATTTGGTATTTGTTTGTAAGTAAACCAACCTGCTGCAAACATTGAACCATGGCTGACAACATCTTGGACAATAAAACATTTAAAAAAAAATCTTTTTATGTTTATCTTTGTTTGCAGAAAAAGCCAGAGAATATCTGCACAAAACGGGACGCTTCATTGTGATCGGAGGAATCATCTCACCGGTGCACGACTCCTACGGGAAAGCTGTGAGTGAGCCTTGAATCGTTTCATGGGGTCGGTGGCAGTTCGTTCTGTTTTTGTTGCTCACGTTGTTGTTGCAGTGTTGTGTGGTAGCTTCAGTGCAGAGCTGTGTTTTCCTTATAGGCTGGCGTTATTAGTTGATGAAGGTCGCTGATGATGAGGAGGAGTTTTTCTGAAAAGTGACAAAAAGTATTCAAGTCAACATCGTGAGAGTTCAGCCCTGTTCAGGATAAAACCCGTATAGCTCCTTCAGCTAGAATTAACCAAAAACACATGTTTGCATTGTTAGGGGCGTGGCCTCTTTGACTAACAGGTGGATGGTGACACGGGCGGCTGTAGCTGCTGCTAGGCTTCATCTGAGCCAACTGTAGCCTCTGAAATGGCGCTCTGGACGGCGTTTGTGCCGTTGGCTGCTGTGAGGTCGTTGTACTCACAGACCTATCAAGATGGCTAAGCTGCAGTTTGGGTGCACAGTGAAATCCTGTGCTTGGATGTAGCTTGCTAACTAGCATTAGCTAAGAACCCGTCACTGCTGGCACCATAAAAACAACATAAATGGCCAAAATGTTGACGTGAAGCTTAAAAACCAACAAACAAGAAAATGTCCTTGTGACGTGGCTACTTCCATCATTTATATACAGTTTGTGATCATTGGACTTTCCTGCAATAAATAATTTAAATCTTGAAATCTAGGTACAGTTTTTCCCAGAAGTGCAACCAACCTCAGTAAATAAAACTGCACGTTGAAAATGACGGTAACACGTACGCAGTGCTGTGAAACAGAACGCCAGGAGGACCAGATTGGAATGAGGCCAGCCAGGCATGCGCAGAAATATAAGTCATCCAGTTAGAACCAAACAATTTCTGCTCCCCACGAATGGTAATAAGGTTGAAAAACAGATGTTACATCTTGGTTATTGTTAGTATTGCGGACAGATGCCTTTAACATGCGGCTTCATCCTCCTGCAGAGTGCAGACTGTGTTTCGTATGTTAGAGTCGAGCACAGATCACGCTGTCTGCAGCTTTCCACTCTGCTTCCTGCAGGAATTAATGAAGGTCTCGTCCTACTTTTGCTCTGCCTCTACAGAAACACACAACATGAATAATAGATGCTACAGAAATCCAGTTTCATCCACTTTGCTGTTCGTTCCAGTTATGTTTGTTTTCCAGCATCGTCACCTGCAGCTGAACGATCCCAATGATGGATTGTTAACGATGGAGATTATTCACATCGCTCATCTTATTAGTGTGTCAGGCCCGATGACTCACAAACCTCTCTGTCCTCAGAAAGCAGTGCGTCAGGCTTTATTCACAGGTGGAAAACGCGACGTGGCCGGCTTTAGAGCCACCGTGAAAGCAGAACATTTCCCACCTGCTCTCCGTCCGTTTTATCCAAACGACTCCTGCTTTCATATTTCATTGATCTGGATTTCCCACCATCCCCTCTGAACGGCACACATTTTCTTTAATGAGCTACCAGAAAGACTCTTAATTACTTTGAAGTTTTTTAATCCTTTTGGTGGGAGGAGGACCTCGCAGGGGTGAAACACATGAGACGACACAGAAAACTGTGGCTTAAGAAAAGATAAGAGCCTGATCGATGGATGAATCTCAAATCTAACGAGGATAATCAGTCAGAGCTGAAGATTTGTTTTGATCTAGATCTTATTTTGGTTGGAAAACTCATCTTTCTGTTACCTGGATATTAGTTCTGAGTTTAAACACCTGAGCTGAACCGTCCGAGGCAGGGTGGAGTGGGACGAGTGTCAGGGGTGAAAGGGAATGTTTACAAGATGGCAGTGAGACCTGCTGTGATGGTTTGGAGACTGTGGAGGCCGAGCTGAATGGTTCAGATGTTCACTGGGAGTCAGCAGCATGGGCGGGATCAGAGTCACAGAGCCTGGTTTGCACACGTGCAGGAGGGAGGGTGGATATATCAGACAAAGCTGCCAGGCAGCAGGAAAAGAGGAAGACCTCAGAGGAGCTTCATGGATGTAGTGAAGGAGGACATGAAGAGAAGGACTTAAATTCAACCTAATTTGCTGGTTAAAGATGTGAATAGTGCACATGGTACTACAGGACTCTGTTTCATTCAATTTAGTTTGATTTATACAGCGCCAAATCACAACAGTTTACACTGTCAGGTAAAGATCCCACAGTAACACAGAGGAATCTCAGAAAAGCCCAACAAGCAGATGGGCCACTGTGAGCAGGAGCTTTGGCAACAGGAAGGAAAAGCTCACTTTTAACATCTTCTCAGTGAGTTTAGGATGAGTTTCCTTTCATGCTTGTTTTTCATGTTTTTTAAACATGAAAAACGTGGCTGACGGCGCCACGGCTGACGGCGCTGCTCTGTGTCTGCAGGGTCTCGTGTCCAGCAGACATCGCCTCACCATGTGTCAGCTGGCCGTGCAGAGCTCTGACTGGATCAGGTGAGACTCTACCCCCCTTTAGAGGCTTTTACTCTGGAAATAAACACGTTTGAGCCATGTTAGAGACAGGACTTCCTGCAAGGAGTTTCACATTAAAAGCTCTGAAATGCCAGTATGTGGCTCCTTGTTTATTTATTTATTTTGGGGCCGTAAATCATAAAAGCAGCAAAACTTTTGGTAGATAAGTTGCAGAGTTGTGGACGTCATGCAGGTAGAAACATGAGAGTTATTATTATTATTTAATAGAAATAACCCTGATATCAACACTTTGTGTTTATTGTTTATTATATGCTGTCATCAGCTCGGTGGTTTTCACGTTTTTGTTGAAAACACAGCCAACGTCAAATAAAACCACAGAAGAAGTGAACAAATGTCCCCTCAGAGAGACAAAGCAGCTGTGCTGGTGCTCAGTGGCCAGAGCCGGAACATGAAGTGCTCCTGTAATGTCCACATAACCGTGTTTGTGCTGTTGGAGCCTTTTTAATGCATCTATCTGAACGATAATATGGCTGCTGTGAGGTCACTGTACCAACAGTCTAGTAACAACAAGTAACGCCCACGAGATTTGGGGTTTGGGTGGCTGAAACTGAGAACAGGACACTAGGTTCAGGTTGCTGAATTTGAGTGAAGCCACAGGTGATTCGTGTCCAGAGAGAAGCCGTGAAACACTGGTCAAAACCAGACGATTGTAAAGAACCCCGTCGTTCCCCGCAGGCTCTTAATGTGAAACATCTGCAGGACGTTTTATTGGCAGCTGAGACTGAAACTAGCATTTGTGTCCTCATCATTCGTTACCTGTTTGTTTGGTGAAGGGTGGACCCCTGGGAGTGTTACCAGGACACCTGGCAGACCACCTGCAGCGTGCTGGAGCATCACCGCGACCTGATGAAGGTGGGCGTTTCTGACTCTGTGTAGATGCAACGCCCCTCACTCTTTTCATTTCCATTAGAATCGGTCATCGTAGTAACAGCGGCTGGAAAGACATCGTCGAGCCCTTTGTTGAGTCATTTCCATGACTCTTCTTTGGTCTCACTTTAACTGGTTGAGCTGCTAAAGGTCTGAGGATCAATTCAAAGTTTAAAGACGCGTATTTTAAATTTCTGTATTCAATATTATTTCAAACCTTCCAAAATGAAAAAGCGTCATCAGAAGGTGACAAAAAAACTGCTCTACACCCGTCACTGAAATGAGGCTAAACTGCAACAAACATTCCCACTACTGAAATGCTGCCCCCTGCTGGGGAAAGAGTTACAGAAAGCACCTGTAACAACTCCGAGATGAAGTTACAGAAGAGTTTCTAACGATGTTTGCGTCCTCAGAGAGTCACCGGCTGCATTCTATCCAACGTCAACACGCCGTCAACCACTCCTGTGATTGGTCAGCCACAGAACCAGACCACGCCCATCTACCAGAACAACAACAACATGAACCACACGCCCACAGCCAGTGAGTCAGATTTCAGGTTCTTAATGAGTGTTAATGAGCTGATGTGTGGTGTTGGGCTCTAAACGTCCTCTCTGCCTCTCAGTCAAGCTGTGGGGGAAGATCAGCGAGAGTTTGGGCAAAATCTGCTGCGCGCGCCCGCACATCGAACGCTTCACCTTCGTTGGTAAGAATTTACAAATGAGAACATTACAAAATAAAAGCTGAAGTTACAAAATAAAAGCTCGATCCCTTATAAATGCCAGCTCGGATCGAGGACGAGATGGAGAAGCAATCAGAATTTGATGTCTTGACTTTACACACACGACCACAACATTCACACATAATGAAAATAAGCAATAAACAAGTGTTCTTATGTGGATACATGAATATGTTCTTCTGTGCTGTTCATTCTTTCTTTCTTTCTCATTACTGTCTAACATAAAGTTTTGCTATTTCTCTATAAAAGCAACAAAAACACAGCTGATCTGGACGATCCGCCCTTCCCTCCTCGTGCTGCTCTGGACTTCCTCCAGCACAGCTGCTGTTTTTAGTGTTTGAACCTCAGTTGGGGGATTTTTTTGGAAATGGTGATGTGAACTTTGTGCTAATTACTTAACAAAGCGATTTTCAAATTGAGGAAGCCTCGGAGTTTGTAGATAAGCTCACAGCACAGGTGCCACCCTCACCCCTTCAAGCGTGCTGCGGCGCAGTCTGCTCATGTGACTGCATTAAGCCTGCACGTTTTCTAGTGTGGGGAGAAACCAAACATTGACATGTGCAGAGCGGGGACATAGATGGAGCTGCCAGGCTGGAGGAAAAAGAGGAAGACCTCAAATAAGATTGATGAAGGTAGAAAAGGTCTGTGTGACCGAGGAGGATGTGAGGAGATCCACTGTAGTGAGCCCTGGAGGGAGCGCCTGAAAGAAGAAGAAGAAGTAAAGGATGAAACATGCTCCTCGTGATGCTCCTGACCTGATACCTGATGAGCGTGCTGCATGGTCAGATCTGCAGACTCAGCTCTTCTCACCAGTGATGACCAGTGGAACAGAAGGTGATGCCTGATTGGTCAGAACTAGCAGGTGTGGCAGAAGTCCAGAGGTGCAGAACGAGAGGCCCTTAAAGTTTCAATCAGCTAAATTCAAATTGGGGTTTTTGTATGAGCGGCGTCACAAAACATTTGGTTCCACTTCACAGCTCAGTGTGTCAGTAAGAGCTGTCTGAAGACAAGGCGGCACTATCACGCGGAGCCTGCGTGTGCCCGTGTTTTGCTTCACCGCCGTGTAATCACATGTGTTTGTCTCTCTGTGTCAGATGAAAACGCCAACCTGGGGACTGCGATGAGATACGAGGAGATCGGTGAGTGGGGTCTTCAGTGTGTGGACCTGAGCGGACTCGTGTGTCGTGTCCTCCGGTTTTCCTTCCTGCTGTGTTTGTTTGTTTGGATCCGGTAAACATGATGTTTACTGAGGGCGTGTCTCTTTCCTCCTGCCTGTTTGCCGTCTGTAGAGTTGCGCATCTTGCTCCTGTGTGGCAGTGATCTCCTGGAGTCCTTCTGCATCCCTGGCCTGTGGAAGGACAGTGATGTAAGCATACCATAGCCCCTCCCACTTACATGTAGCCCCGCCCCACTCACATGTAGCCCAGCTCCTCAGCTCTTTTCCCAAACTGTAGGCTGGATATAAAAGATGGACGTAGCTTTTGGGTGTACGAAGTGAAGCCGGTGCCTCGAAAACTATTTGATGTTCATTTTGGAAATAATGTCTCCATCAAAGTAACGCAGGCAGTAACCCAGAGAGCAGCTTTCACAGCTAAAGCTCTCAGAAGCTTAACTCAAGGCTTCCAAAGTGGACTTCAGGGGCTATGTCCATTTTCAATATACAGTTTATTCCCAGGACTCGGCTGTGACGATGAATGTTGTTGACAAGGGAAAATTTCCCAGCGTTATTCTCTCCAAAGCGGCGCTGCACGCAGAGCAGACGATCCATAAATGAGATTTATGCAGTGAAATTCACCACAAACGCAGCAAGGTGTTTTTAGAGGCCGGCTGGAAGTGTCCGCGCTGTCTCTTCAGCCTTCGGCTGCATTAGAAGATGTAAAGTTACTAAACAGCCTGAGCAATAACAAGAAATCCAGATTTCTCACTTCCTGTCGAATGTTTATTTGGAGAAACAGAAAGACTTTAAGAAACGTTTCTATGGAAGATAAACGGGGACACCTCGTGTCGGTCTGTTTGTACGACTTCAGTGAAACCGTAACACTTCACACATGAGGCTAGTTACTTTTATTTTGAAGTCTTTCGAACTGGAGGACACAGAATGGTCCCGTTCTGATTGGCTGCAGTTTTCCTGATAGCAGCGTTTCAAGGCGTGACGGGCCTGAGCTGCACAGACGGCTGATTTACGATGCCGGTGGGGTGAGAGTGCTGCTGCTGACATCACTAAAGGCAGCTTCAGGTTTTGCAGAAACGTCACTTTCTGTGTTTTCATGGAGAAATGAGTCTCACTAAATGAAGACTCATAAACGCTGTGATCCAGTTTTAACGTTCGTTATAAACTCGCGAGGACTGAAAAGTTGCAGCAAACTTTCCTGCGTCAACAACCGAGGTGAAGTGAACAGGAGGCGATCGACCGCTTGTCAAAGAAAGCGTCAGTGGTTCACTCACCTGGTGTGTGTGTCAGAGCTAGGAGGAATTTATTTGACTGCAGGTGTGTTTCCATCCACCTGTTTTTACTCACATGTTCAGTCTGAGATAAAAACGCGATGGAAACGCCAAAAATCAAATAAATCTGAAGTAATGTGACTTGATCGTCCACCGGAGAGACCAGAACTGCTGAAACGAAGTCATCAGCTGTGATTGAAGCGGCGAGGAAACGGTAACCTTCCTCATGTGAACGCTTAAACTGACAGAAATGTCTTATTTTATCAGATCATTCAGGTGATTCCATCACATTAACGTGTCATTCTTGGATTCTTCTAGAGCAGCTTTGCATGATTTACAGTTTAAAATAATCCTACTGTGTCTTATACTGGGCCTCAACGCAGCCCCTCAGTTCATGCTCTGTCTGAAATCTGCTTTTTAAGTTCCTCCCCCTTTGAGCCATCCTTCTTCTGGTTGGCTAATCCCTCACAAACAGAAGGTTTCAAGTCTGTGTGCCTGAGGTGACCATGTAAGGACAAACCCTCTCTGTGACATCATACGTAGCCAACAGTGGAACAAAACGGAGAGTTTAGAGCAGCTCACAGGATTTAGATTCATGTTAACTGGAGATGAGCATCAGCCATCAGAACAGGACATAAAGAGAGCAGCTCAGTCAGCTTTTCGTTTGCTCTGATGAAGCTGAAGTCGTCGTCCTGTCGTTCAAACCGATCTCAGCCTGAAGCTCGTCTTCCTCTGCTTTCAGATGGAGGTGATTGTGGGAGATTTTGGGATCGTGGTGGTTCCTCGTGATGGCGCCGACACAGAGAGGATCATTAATCACTCCTCCGTTCTGCGCAAGTTCAAGGTCAGAGCTCACCTCCAGATCACATGACCTTTGACCCAGAGAAACATCCTCCAGCGTCTCAGCTCATTTCTGTTCTGTTTCAGGACAACATCATCGTGGTGAAGGACGCGATAAGCCACCCGATGGCCATCGTCAGCTCCACCAAGAGCAGGTGGGAACTCAGATATTTAGAAAACGCTTTCGCACCAGCGTCCACGTTTCAGTTTCATGGTTTTCAGAGTTTTAACATTCAAAGAGGTTCATTAAAATGAATTCACTCTGGATCCAAGCTGTTGAAAGCGTGACCTTTACGCCGTCTGTTTCTCCGCCCACAGACTGGCGCTGCAGCACGGCGACGGCCATGTTGTGGACTACCTGAGTCAGCCCGTCATCGACTACATCCTGCAGAGTCAGCTGTACATCAACGCCTCGGGATAGAGACGACAACAACCTGCCCGCATGAAAACAGGGAGACTGGAGGAGGAGGGGGAGGGGGGTCCTACCTACTACCATCATCTATTTAAAACACGAGCCCTCCTCCTCCTCAATCGAAAACTTGTCTGTCTTCTGTGTCAAACATATACTCTTCTTTGAGCTGTTGCTTTCCAACAGGAGCGTTAGTGCTCCTCCTTCTGTCTGTGTCATGTGACTTTACATCAGGGGAGGGGGAGGGGGGTATTTTGGGAGGTCTTGGGGACGATGCACAGAGGTAACTCCTCAGGGCTGTGGCGGCGACGGCGGTGTTTTCTCTTTCTCGTTCTTTATTAAGGTCTGCGAATGCATGACACAGTCGGGCATGCTCAGTGTGCGTGGGATCGTGCTGGGCGGGGCTTCATGCAAGAACCATTCATGAGCTCAGGATGCCGGCCCGGCTTACACATCCACAGATACTTAGTCCCAATCTGAAATACGGTCCACTGAAAGAGACAGACAGCTGCAGCAGAGCAGGATG